TTGTTATTCTTTTCTAATCGTTGGAATATAGAAAGAGATTAATCTCAACCATAGCGCAATTTATTCTGGAAGTTATTCATCATAAGCAAAAAAGACTTCCTCCAATGATCAGATGAAGATCGGTCGAAGCATGAAGTGGAAAAAGCTGCACGAAACAATTTGAAAGGAAGTGGATGTGCTCGCTTGCCTGTGCAGATTCGATTGCACGTTGATGATTTTTACGAACATTATCGAATTCTTCGTCTTTTTGCAATAAACGCTTCTCGATTTCGGCCCGAATTTGATTCAGTTCAATCTGCGATCTCGAAACTTTAGTTTCCTCAGCCTCAACTGCAGCTTCAGCTTCATCGAGCGCACGTTGTAGCTCATCTTTTTCTGTCTCCAATCGTTTGACCCTTGAACTCATTTCGTGTACATTCTTCGAACCGTCCATCAACTGTGATTGCAGATCGTGAATTTGTTGGTTCAAGGTGTCACTTTCTCGTCTCAACCCATCCACTTGCATCTGGAAATTATCGTTGATTGATTGTTCCGAGAACAGATCCGCTGATAGCGTTCTGGATTCTTTCTGTGCCATTTGCAACTCTTGATTCGCATCATCCACTTTTCGTTTCCATTCTTCGATGGTTTTGTCGAAGGCTTTCTGTTTCTTGTCCAATTGCTCCACTATTGTTGCATTACGCTCAGCCTGTTTGCGTGCCTCATCAGCATCTGCACTCATCTGAGAGCGGACTCTTTCGAGAGCCGTCACTCGCGAGTTCGCTGAATCGATCGCCTCTTCCAGTTCAACCATTCTTGGAGTGATCTTCTTGATTGCTTCATCCAATGAATCCGATGGCACCAAATTGGCATCTTCAAATTTACTTCGCCATTGTTCAATTTCCAAATTCGCCTTATTCAGTTGTCTTAGCAAATCAGTTTTCGCTGCGACTTCATCGTCTAACGTACTACGCAGCTGATCCAATTCCATTTGAAGACTCTTCGATTGCGTTGAGAATATCTGTTTGTCTCGGAGCTCTTTAGCTGTTTGTCGTTTGAACGAGTCGAGCTCTTGGATGAGTTGCGCTTTGATGGTGGACGTTGTTTGGATCTGTTCGTTCAACTCTTCACAACGTCTCATCAACTCGTTATTTTCGTTCAGTTGACGTGTATTTGTCGAGTTCATTTGCTGCAACTTTGTTTTGTTCTCATCGCCAGTTTGGTTCAGTTCTGTTGTTTGATTCTCCAAATCCTTTATCAAGCGTTCACGTTCC